TCTTGAAGTTCTAAAAATGACAAAAGCTTATTGTCGATTAATCCCTTAGTTTAACTCTGGCAGTTTATTAAGAGAAAAGGATCCTCTTTCTTGAAATAAAAAAAGTAAGTCGAAAGTAAGTTGGGAAATATGAGGAAAAATTCTGAGAGATCGCGCGAGGCCGAACTTGGCGCTGCCGGCAAGTTTGATCGAATCGGTACGGAAATTCAGGAAACTTTCGCACGGACGAGCGAGCTGCTTTAACGCGATTCTTCGGCCGCTCTATTTTCAGAGAAATTACGATCTTCTTCCCTCCTTCTTCCTTTTGGGAGACCTCGGGGTGGGCGATGCAGGTGCGAGTCTTGCACATGCGAGGCGGAGAGGCGCGTTATACGTTATAAACGTTTATACACGCGCGGCCTCCTCGCGATAGACCTACGTTAGCCCGTTGTACGTAGCTTAACGTTGCCTTCTAATGTTACCTCTGGGACAGTCAGCACCTGACACTTTCACGTTACCTACGTACGAATGTTTAATGCGCCGCCGGTAATTATTATGAAGTAAATTAGCTGGCGGCGCGTGCTATACTAGATCGCCTTCCCTCCCCCGGCACGTTCTCCATCACCCTCCCTCTCTCGTTCTCATTAATGTTGCAGCTCGTCCGTCCTGTAATTATCCTCTAGCCCGCGATTAACGGTCAAGAGATCGATTACCTTTGCTTCGCGATTGTGTTCCACGTCCTTTGACCTTCGCGATCGTTTCCATGTGCGTTATATATCGCTCGATTGCATTATTCAGCCCGATGCGTGCCGGGCTTGAGAGACGTCACAAAAGAAGTGCAAGGGACACTCGAAGATGTTCTTTTCGGATCTATTTGAAGTTTTCCTTCTCGTTTAGATCACACTTCTTCATCCGTGCTCAACCGGAGGACCGGTCGTTCTTTTAAACTGACACTGTACTAACTGTACCTCATCGTCACGATGAGGATCGCGAGGATGACGAGCGACTGTTGTACACCTGCGTGCCGTTCGCGGAACAATGTCGTAGACCCACATAAATTCAACTCCCGGCAGGGCACGCACGGGCGGGTTAAATAACGTCATTTAGTATCGTAATATCTAATTTACTGCAGAAGGGAGCGACGAGCCTCGGATGGACATATGGGGTGGAAGGGCGAGGAAGGATATCGGGGCCACGTGGTCGTGATCCCACGGCGCCGCAATTAGAGGCGCCTTCAAAATAATCGTATGTCCCTCTTCTGCGAGTTCAGCGCGCGCGCTGCGAGAGAAATTAAACGCACCTTCGAGTAATACCGTTTACGTACTTCCACCCGGAGGGCAAAATCTTTCATTTACTTTATTTGTTTATTTCATCCATTTTGTGGAATCTAGATTCTTCTTTTTCAGGAAATCTGCCGTGAGATCTTTCGGTCGTTCTTTCTTTAGACACCTGACCACTTCAAGCTTTATCAAAGATGAATATAAAGTCTATCTTTTAATCTTATAAAAGTCTATCTTCTTCTTTTTTTTTTTTTTTTTCAAAAATTTAATTCTTGTTGAGGAAGATCGATCGAGAACATTAACGTTACAAGCACGCTTTTTGTCGCCGTCTGCTCGTTATCATTAACTGTGGCTGGATTTGCGCTGATAACGGGCCGCGCTTCCGCCGCTTAGTCTTTGCTCGCGATCGGACCTGGTCGTGCGAACTCAAACACCTGTCGGCGACCACCAAGTAACGTGACATCACGTCACGTGATGAGCCGGCGAACTGGCGAACGCACCCCCGAACCCACCCCTGACGACCCCGGACAGTAATCGGTCTAATCGACGTTCCTCGGAGGCTTGCGACATACGCGTATAGACATATTATCTTCTATGCACGTAGAATAGCATTTCTCGTAGATCGTCGCACTCAAGTATGCGCATTCTTCCTAAGAATTGATATTACATTTTCAAAGACCATGGCTCATATTCTGAATACGTTCTTATATAATCTTGTAAAAATGCGCGTTCTATTTATTTTAATGTTTCTCTATTCATATTTGTAGTTGTTAGAACGCTCGCGATAATATTGTCCAAATTTTACGGAACTATCACGTGGACTGTAGTCGGCGGTGCTGAAGAGTTTACAGGCATTTTCGCACGCAAAAATGCGCTCCGTTTCCTCGCACGAAACGGAAGGAAACCACCTCTCACGCAGCGTACACGCCGTACGATCGTCGTCGTACACCTCAGGAACAGGACAGGCCGGTATCCAAGGTGGTCGCGTGTCTATCCCCTTAGTCTCATTCCGCCGGCGTCCCCCCACACCTACGGGGGGAGGGGGGGGGGGAGAGAGGGCACGGATTCTCCTTTCACCCTCGCACGAAGTCACGTATCGTGACGCCCGTTGTTTCACAACTTGGGCAAAGTTATCTCATCAAGTCGTCACGAGGACGACTCCCTTCCTCCTTCTTTCCCTCTTTGGTCCTCCCTCCCCTCCCCTTTCTCCGAGTCCTGATTAAACTTTTCTTACTTTTTGTCGGTATTTATAATCTCGCGCTCGCTCCGCGCCCACTCAGAACCGCAAATCGTTATCAGGGCTTAACTAATTAGCGATGTTTAATGGAAAACCCATCCAAGTAGAGGTACGATACGACACTTATTTATTTAATTCCTTTATAATTTAGTGTTTTAATCTCTGAAATAATCAAGTAGACGAAAATTTACTTGAAGGACTCACACTGTAGGGTACCTATTTAAGTCAATCAAGATTATAAACAAGAATCAACAAAATACAGAGTAATTATAGATACAAAAATAATTATGATGCTCTCTCTCTCTCTCTCTCTCTCTCTCTCTCATTTTATAAAGAAAAAAACTAACTTTATTAGTCGCAATTTCAACATGCCAATACATCGGCATTGAGAGGATTCGCGCGGATAGACTTCAATGCCCGCGACGTGTTACCTGTCACGTGTTGCCTACTACGATCGAGGGAGACGAACGACTCGTCGAGCTCGAAGTTTAAATAGAATAGGACAGATGTACCTCGCTACTGTTTTGAATAATTCTTGTATTCTTGAAAGAATAATTATATTAGATGAAAGCGAATGCGGTGCAATTAAATGGATCGATAGATCGCGGCCGCGAAGAGTCGAGCGGCGAGGGTGAAAGAGAATTCGCCGGTTTTTCTTAAACGAACGACGTGCTTCAAGCTACGTTTGCCCAAGAGGGGCACTGGGGGGCTTAATCATTTAGACTATTTGCCCCCGTTGGAGCACGCCAGACCATCTACAGCCCTTCGGTTCCCAGGCCGTCGGCAAATTGCGGCTTACCGCGCCGGCACCGGTATTCTTATCCTCCCGCGTCCAGGTAATTCTTGGCGGGCCCGGCCACGTTGTTCTTATCGGAAACGGCGCGAAACAACAAACGGAATCGCTCACACCACCGTCGCCATATCGTCTCCCAGTCGGCCAAACCAGCGAGGAAAAAGTAGAACGTGGTGCCTGCCCGAACTCGATTCATTACGAGTCTCATCTCTTCTGCGATTGCATCGCACTCGCGTAATCTTACCTTTACGAGCTCTTTTCTCAGGGTATAATTTCCCCGCGAAATATTGTTAAATATGTATAATTTACATTTTTATATTTTTATATAATTCGTATTTTTCAAATTTGAATCAGTAACCGCAGAAGAGATGGGAAAGCTAATCTACAGACAAATTGGAAACAGAAAATTGTTTTCTTCTAAATTATTTTTGTTTAATCGCGCAACAATTTTTTTATATTATAACAGCATCGAGTTACGAAGGTAATGAAGTGTTATAGCGAAAATTTGACTTTATCAAACTTCTACCCTTCTTTTTTTCCGTTCTCCACGAAGAAGAGACCTCCGGATAGCAACGCCGACGTCGACGCGAATCGACCGGGCAGGGATAAAATCTTGATCTTTCACCAGGAAATCGCGAGATAGACGATTTCGCAAATATTGCGACGTTATGGAAAAACAGTGACGACGTGTGTAATTTTATTATTATCGGATTTATCGCGTTGGTGCGCCCTATCATCTATATCGCGCGTTCGCAGAGCGGTAATTTTATATCGTCAGTTCACAGCGTGAGCGTTTGGTCTCTGGTTGAGGAAGTCGAGGTATATACCGACGATGTAAAAGCACTTCCGTGTACATCGCAGTCACGTCCGCCGACTGCCCGCTGTTATTAATATTTCACGTATGCACTCGTCCTGGACACTCACGCCGAGTCGATCGCACCTCCTACTTTTTTCTCCTCTATACATCTATTTACGCCCCTTGACCGTAGCACCTTCGTAGCAACCCCGTGACGTTATTTTAATTGCGAATCAATACCGGGATCGCGAGTCTTCACGTGGGACAACACGTGTTGTTTTATTGAAATCCTTCGTGATTAACATCGGGATCGTTGGTTTTAATTCGCACCAATCTCCAGGATCCAAGTAGCATATATAAAAAAATGATTTAACTTATCTCTAAAAATTTGGTCAGATGTAGATCTGATAATTTTTTGGACCATCAAATCAATTCTACAAAATATTTTTGCGATATTATTATCGTGCTTATAAATATCTTACCTAAAAATTTTGTAGTGTCTGGCTAAATCTTTAGAAAAATTGTTCTTTTCGTGTATATTAAATATATAATTTTTGTTATGCATTACATTGTATATCACATTTAACAAGTTTTAATGATACATTACAATCGTATGGAAGATTCTTTTTTTTAAAGCTTTAAAACGCTGCCGAAATTAAATACTTCAGGAAGTATTCGAATTGTTCATCTAAAACAATTTTCAGACATGTACGCGTGTCTCGATGACATTTGATGTTAACCTTTCGAAATGGATTAAATCAATGATGAAGAATACTAGATGTATGGAAAAAAAGGTCAATGCGATAGTCGACGAAATTCTCGATGAGGATCAGGAAAACGATTTCGATGCGACACGAGCCTGTCCAGGTGGTTGTGAAGAATTATATGATACGTCTAAAGAAGTAAGCTATGCACTCAAGATGCCTTTATTTATCAATCACTTTTTTTATTAAATTAAATCTTCTCTAAAGCATTTATGTCATCAGAGATCAACAGCTTTATCTATATCTATATAAAACATTACAAAATATGCTAAATCTTTATTAATTTTCTTTGTATCAGTAAAATATCATCATGCTATCGCTATTTTTTGACTTTTGAAACTGAATCCCCATTAAACGTCGACAGTCTATTGCGTTCGATTACAACGAAAGAAACTTTTCAGATAAGAAAGACAATTCCTCTCGCTACAGGCACCCCAGCAATGCAGATGCGGCGTGGAGAACTCGTCGAGGTTCTCGCTGCGCGTGATGGAGGCGATGCGCTCGTTGCAGCGCGACGTGGACCAACCGTCCACATCCACCGTCGAGGAAATTGCCGATTACATCCGGTCGCATTATCGCTACGACGGCGATCTTTACGCTCAGGTGCGGACCGCGCTGAGACAGGTCTGTTCTCAAGGGTTAGTTCCCGGCTTCGTCGGAGACGCCAACCGGAGAAAACGCATGTTACGCACG